GAGTTATGAATCACAATGTGTATGCTCTTTGATTACATCACCGGTCTATTTTCATTGCAACTCCTGTAATAGAGCAAAAATAAATAATAGTCTATTGTCCTGTCTGAATGGAGTAAAACATGCAACCACCAAAAATTCCCTCGATGAAAAACCTGGCCACTGGAGTTACTAAGCCACCAGACTGTATGAAAATCAGACAAATAGCTAAATATATTCTCTGATTACATTTGAAATGGTTTAACCTAATTTGCTATGATATTACAGCAACGGGGGCTGTGTGATAAAATATACATATATGTAGCATAAAATAAGAAAGAACCATGCTGAGATCTAAGCCGGTAAAAAGATCATTAACATAAGAGAGTATGGAGCTTTATAGACAGAGTTAAACACAGCAGTGAGCTAAAACATTGTAGTAATGAAGGCAATGAAAAATAAATTACTGTAATGAAAAAAATCGACATTATTGAATAAGGAGAGGTAGAGTGATACTGTATGTTAAAAGCTGCGCTGACTGTGTTCAATCTGCACTGAGCAGTTTGTGGGAGGCAACGTGACCTTGAGACAAAAGAAAGCCCTGTAAAGAGAAAACCCCTGGTTCGATTCTTATACAGCAAGCGTGTCCCCATCAGTGACAGTTCAAAATGTCATCGAGGAATTGATAATTCCAGTCGCCTTGAATAAGAGTTTTGCTCCTGGTGCAGACACAGCGTGCAGTGGGAGTGCACGAAGGTGTCTGTGATGCAGGCTGTTAATATATCTAGTGAGCTCAAACTTGTTGTGGCTCTCTCCCAGTCTGTCTGGGCATGTGCAGAGAAGCACTGCAGTGCTGCACTGTGAAGAGAGAGAGAGGGAGAGAGACAGACAGAGAGAGAGAAAGAGACACGAGTTTTGACAGTGGGGTGCTCATTCATTCTCTGCAATATTCTTGCTGCCATCCCATGTGTGAGGGAGCATTTAGAGGATAAAAGACTATGTTTGTGTACAGTCCTCTGCTGCAGCCCGGCATTATGAAGCATCCATTAAGCACAAAAAGGTTTATTTCAATTCCAGCCACCTACAAGGCACTGAATCCATCTTGCATTGAGCATATTCTCATTAGAGAGTATTCTCATCATTGTGCTTGTATTAGAACCTGTGTCTCCTGATTTTCTCTTGCCAAACAACCTAAGTGAGTCTATTTGATGCAATACAACCTCTAAAAGAATCAAATCTTAGAGTGGCAGTCTACTTGTGCGCCACATTTCTCCAGCTGAACTCCAGCTGTTTCAGGATCTTATAGGGATCTCAAAGACAGATCCTTAATCAAGAGAAACAACCAAGTCCAATCGCAGACAAGGTTTAGTCTTTATTGGCTTTTGTTTGTTCCCATGCAAACCTGTGATAACTGTGTCCTTTCTCCTTAGATCACTTTTCTTTCATTTGATTTCATTTGGTCTGTTTGTTCTCCTAATGGAGCAGATTCTCTCCCCGTCCAGGCAGCAAAGGTAGAGGAGTTTCACTTGGTGTGGTGCTGTTAACTGGAAAAAAGTCCACCTGTGCTGTTACCAAGGCCTCTATGTCAGGAAACACCCAGCTCAGATCAGCAACACTGATACTGATTTGGTTTAACAGTGAGAACAGGAAATAGACTGTGAGACCACACAGTGTCGTGGCTCAACCAGTCATTCAGTTTCAAGAATGGCAACCAGATGGACACACACTCAGTTCTGAATAAAGCAACTACACCAACTATATAACAGTAATTAGTAATTAGTTAATTAAAGCTACTGCTAGTTATGTAACAACACATGAAGACACATTTGTTTAAAAGGGACAATAAAGCACATCAACAGAGTAAAGGGGGAAAAGCTTCCTTTGTTGCTCTGTGTTGTTTTCTGAAAAATGATGACATGGCAAAAGAGTCACAGTTAATTATTTCATATCTCTAAGGCAGAAGAGGTTGTGAGTGTGGTCATTAGCCCTGTAGCTTTGATACAGCATCAGCCTGCAACATTAATTGGCTACTTGTGCTGTCGCAGGCTTGATCATTCTCTGCCTCTTGGGCTGCTGAGGCATCAAAACAGGTGGAATATAAATGGCACAGCATGTGCACCTCGGAGTCGTGACGCACCCTGGTATTTCTAAAAGCTGTCATCCATTTTGTGGGCAATGATGACGATAGTGGCAAAGAAAAAAAAAAAAAAATAGGGGGGTGGGGGGGTGGGGGCGAGATCTCTTGGCTGAAAGGGCCATCAAGTGGCCGGAAGCTGAACTGCACCTTCGGCCAGTTGCTGAGACACAGAGGCTGTGCTGAAATGAAGCAAGCAGACCGGTGAAACACTTGCTTTCCCTTGAATTGAAATGGTCATGCTTGAGCAGGCCCTTTGAAGCAGGCTCAAGGTGTCATTTTCTGCTAAATGATGCTGGAAGAGGCACGATTCCCAGTCTTTAATAAAAGAAAACATGACTGTAAGAGGAAATCTTGTATTAAATTTCTCCAGGATAGACATTCTGACGAATGTCATACTCCAAATAAAGTTGAATTATACCTAACAGATTTCAAAAGCTAGTATAGTGGCTGTAAGCGACACCGCAGTCCTCTTGTTTCCCTGGGATATCCTTTACAGGCTCCTCGGTGGCTCTGCTATCCAGCTCCCTGTAATGCCACACTGCATTCCTGAGAAACTGAAGAACTCTCGGGTTGTGCAGGTGCCAGTGAACAGCGTTTGTGCTCAGGTCAGGTCTGCTGGTAGAGGTCACGCAGACGTCAGGGTCATACAGAAGGAAGGTCAGCATCATATTAGGGTAGGGTTTCTCATTGACTCCCTTTCATCACTTGACCCAAAGAATGAGCAAGACAGTGAGGCGGGTTTGAATGAATAGAGCATGAAAGTTTCAACTTGCTGACTGCTTAAGATGATTGCTTTACATAATGGTAAAATACCATTCAAAATAAAAACTTTTTTTTTTAATTCACTATAATGATCTGTTGTAGTGAATGCAGTTATTCTACCAGGCAGCAGAGAGACAAATGATTAGCAATTTGTTGTGGCTACACATTCAGTTATGGTTGAACATGATATAATAAACTGTACCACTGGGCTCCAGGCTATAAATATATAATGTTTGTCCTACAATCCTGTAGGTCACTTTCTTTATTTTCTAGATGCTTACTTAATTCACAAGCTCTGCTTTTCACTTTCAACATGCTGCTCAGCTTTGTCTGTGATGATTTAGCTGATATTGTGCAGCATAAGTCCCCAGTGTTGTGACACAGTTAATAGAGACTGAATTTGCTTTGCTTATACAGACAGTCTTCCCTTAAAAAGCTGCGCTTCGGGTTCTGCAATTACAGTGTAATCAGTTGCATCAAATGTGACAAAAGACTTGAGGCGGTAGCCTGAGTTGTGTAAATGTAAGTAAATGCTGCACTAACTTATTCTCTTTGTTGAGATCATGCTAATGACTAAACGTTTGTTGCGCTGAGATGAAAATCTGGATATTCTTGTCTCTTTATGCCACATCACAAGTTGAAAATATCATCATCAGTCAAGAGATGTTTTTGAAATTATTTTGAAATATTTTGTGATGTTAACATATTTCAAAAGCCTATTAGATTTTCATCATTTGATTTGGTAGAATTATTATGTATATATATTATTTGGTATTGTACTTCCATAAAGAGCATGTGAGCGACAGATTGAAACAGCAGTGGCCACGATATTTATTTTTTGTTAAACTTGCAGAAACCAAACTGAACTTCATCTGTAATATATCTGTGGAAGACCCCTTTAATATTTTAGGAAATCTCATTAAATCAATGTATGAATAATGAATGCTTACAACTTCAAATGGAGGTAGAATAAATGAATTACCTGAAATGTATTTGTGCTCATATTGCTGATGCATTTTAATATGTTTATTTTATGAGCATCCTGTCAGATTTCCATTTAAGTGAAACACACAAATTAATAGAATTTTTGATGATGAACTCACATCTCAGTCATTGCTATACAACAGGAGAGTGGTTGTCCAGATGTGCATTTCTCTGTGGCTATCATAATCATGGCACAACTTTTTGATTAGGCGTAATTTATAAAGATTTCATAAGATGTAGTTGATTATTTTATGAATGATAAATAAATCATTTAGTAATGCTTTATAGATGAGTTATGAGCCATTAAAAAGGACAACTTCTAGGTTGCCAGGTTGTGGAAAATCCTCCTCCAGCATGACTTTGCTTGTCTTTTAATCACTTTAATTCATTAGGGAGACCCCTCTTGACCAACTAGCTTCTGGAAAAGTACTGCAAATGTCACCAGCAATTATAAATGTTAAGAAATGATTTTTACAGAATTAAGGATGATTTCATTTTTAAACAAACTGCTTATATTTGGATTTTGCTCCAGATGTCCTGCAGCCTTTTTCCCGGAAAGTGCGTGGTTAAAAATTCCAAAGGAGGTGGCTCCCTAAGAAATTAAGAACTAACTTGAAAATTTTTATGGTAGAGTTGGTTTTTCCACAACTTGGCAACCCAAAAGTTGCTCTTATTTATGGCTTACAGCTGATCTAGAAATGATTAGAAAATGATGTGTTAACATTTAGGAAAGCTACTGATTACATCTTATAAATCCTTTATAAAATCAGACAATTATTTATATATATATTATATTTACTAATTATTGAGCAGTTGTTTCATTACCAGCCACGCGGTGGTAGTAAAGGTGCAGCCTACTCATCATGACATAGCCTACCTAGCGCGTGATGCGTGTGCGCGCCTAAACGTGCTTTCTTGTAATCAATTTTAAGGGTTTCACCAAAAAGAAACAAAAAAAAAACAAAAAAAAGAAAAGGTTATTGTGTCGGTAAACACCTCCTTCGAGATAATTATAACGATTCAAAAGTTAAAAAATATTCCAGCAGTTAAGTTTTCTTTAACCTGTTAAAAGTACACAGAGGAGAAAGTTCGGCTCGCTTCTCCCACAGACTAACAGCACTTCATTCAGCAGCTGCTGTGGAGCAGTGGGAGAGTGGGAGGGTCTGTCGGTGAGCCTGCACCACTTTACGCTGTGAAGTTGTAGCAGCGGGGAGGTTATCACCATCAGTGTGGATTACTGACAGCACCCAGGTGACTGGACCGATGAGATGATACTGACACACAACAGGAGCCCTCTTCTGCTCACCGTCACCTGCATGTGCTTCTCAGGAGGTCTGCTGTGGTCCTACCAAGAGGAGGATGCCAGTGACGGGTAAATCTAAGGACATGACAGCATCTAATAACACGAGGAGCACTTGTATTAGATAAAGGGAAATGCTTACTTTGCTTCAAAATGTTTTCTTCCACAGTGGAGAGTGCTCTGAAAATAACATCTCTACAACAAAGTACCCCTGCGTGAAGTCGACTGGAGAAGTTACGACGTGTTACAGGTAGTGTGAATGTGATTCATAGAGTTGGACGCTGTTGTCAGACTGGAAGGATGAAAATAGGGTGAAATTACCAAGATGCAGTCCAGTTGGCGGTGTGTCCCTGTGAAAATGATTTCAAAATGTAGCTCTGGATTATGTAAAACTTGACTTGTCATTTATCACTCAGAGCAAAAAATGCTCAGATGCTGCTTGTTGAAATGTTAGTGAAGTGGAAAATAGCTGAGACACTGGGCACAGCTCTGCGTTATTAAGCACTGAATGATAAATGTAAGTGAAAGTCACATAAATTCTTATTGCCTGAGGCTGCCAATGGCATTAAAATAAAAATCAATAGGCTGTTAAACATCCTTATTTTGATTTTGTTCTGTTAAACATCCCTTAGTGTCACTTTTTTTTTTTTTTTTTTTATAATACATGTGACTTAATATTTTCAATGAATCAGCTGTTGGTCAGATGTTTAAATGAGTTGTAAAATGTCAAGCTGTTTTAAGTTAGTTGTATCTAATATATTGAAATTAAGGGATCTATATCTAAATATCCACAAGTGCCAAGATTGGCCTGTTCTGCTCTGACACCGGCTTTAATTATGACAGTTCCCAGACACTGTGGTCACAGCGTTGCCTCTCAGCAAAAACTCCTGTCAGAGGCTACGGATTAAGTTGTTACAACCTAATCTGTCTTCATTGCAAGGGGCCGCCTCATAGGCTTAATAAAAAAAGATGTGTAACTACACTTTTAAGAGCTAGTTTTGTCAAATTTTTTAAAATAAAATCACTCAAATATAAACTAATTTTGATTGATTTACACATCAGAAAGTTGTGACAACGGATGCAAGTAAGTCTAACAGAAATTTGTATCATTACAACATATTTGTATTTCATTAAAAGAAGAGCTGCAGACACGCTACTCCAACACCCCCACGCTACTCCTTAGTGTATTCTTTTACTATACACTATTGGGAATCAGTTGAACAGCTGTTAAATGTTCAAACACCACTATTGGGGAATGCAGTGCTCTTTTTTCCAGGCGCACTGTGACTGATGAGATGTGCAGTAGATTTGGAAATAAAAATCATGCAACTTATTCAGGGAACTCATTTCAAACATTTTGTCAATGATCTTGATTTACAGCAAATCTATTTCTGTGTGCGCTTTGCTGGGAAAAAAGCATTGAGAACGAAAGAAATGCCGGACTTGAATATCTCTTGTGAGAAGTCTTCCAAATGTCGACTTTGTGAGGTTTCATCTCTGCATCACTTGACAAACTGCTGGTTATGGTTCAAGCACACAGTGACATCCCGTTTGATCTTCAAATCTCAAACACACTCTTAACATAATTATGTTGTTTTATGGTTATTGGCTGCGGCCACAGTTGTTTCCCACAATGTTTATTTAAAGAAGAAAAACGGTTTCAGCCAAGACCCATATAATGTGCCCTGGGTGCATTTCAGTTCACCTGCACAGTGTGAGCTGGTGACTGCACATCAGCCCTGTAATTGTTTGTAGAGAAGTTTTATTGTGGTGCCAGAAATTCAGATTAATGATCTGAATTTGATAAGATGAATATGGCATTTGCATTCTACAATTTTTTCTCCCCAAAATGCAGGCACATACCAGCGCAATTACACCTTGGCATGACTGAGATGGAGTTCAAAGGGAACCAAGTGCGATTTAAGTTGGCAAGATTCAGTTGCCAAAGGAAAGTATAGGCTTATGGCATTCATTAGGCACTCTGTGGAGTATCATTGTGCCTGCACATCTCAGAACATTTCATTGCTGTAATAAATTTTTCTTTTTTAAAACACTGTCAGAAAAACTGTTTGCGTAAAACTTGCTGCCTGTACAGACAGGTGTGCTCTACTTTGATGCTTTGACATGGGCCCCAAATGGTCCAAGGGCCCCACATTTTTCTTTTTTTCCTTTTTTGCAATACATCGGTCTTAAATTTGGTGCTAATTAGTGAGCTTCAGAGGTGCTGGCAGTTGGATTTTGTTACCCTTTGGACAGAGCCAGGGTAGCTGACTAAATACTAAACTAAGCCAACGGGCTTGTGTTTGTAGCTGTATATATTAGACACAGTGGTGTCAAGAAAGCTGGTAAGCATATTTCCCGAAATGTCAAACTAGACTTTCAAATAAGATTTAATGGTTACTTCTTTTTTTTTTTTTTGAACATTTTTGAGGCGTTGAAATTCAAGCCTTCCCTATCGGCCCAGTGGGAGAAGAGAGGCCCTGATGATGGGATTTTGAAACAGACCCCCTCCTTTGGTCATGGCATGCCACTGTGTGCACAGCATAACACTCATCCTTGAAGCATTCATCATATTGTGAAACAGCACCAGTGGAGACGCCAGAGACCCGGAGAGCATATGTCACAGTACAAGAGAGGTACCAGGGCCTCAGCTGACTCTGACCATATCTGTCTCACTGTCAGTGCAGGCACATTCTTCTCTCGCTGCCTCTCTGGGTTGTTTCAAACAGAGATTGTCATATTTGGTTGAAAGGCCCAGTGTGTTGGGATGCAGCGTGTTCAGGCTTCACAACAATACGTGCTCATATTTGTGTTTCTACAGGCTGTGGAGTGAAGGATGCTTGGCTCACGATGAGGCTGTGCAGAGTTGTTTTTTCGAGGAGTCGCAGTTCAATCATGAAGGCCTGTGATTGTAGCAGAAATGCTTCACTAAAATCCAAAGTAGGGTTTGATTAAAATGATAAGGTTTGAGCTGTTTGTTTGAATTTTCTGGTTACTGCTGTTGCTTTTCTGCAATGTACCTCACCGAGATCAGTTTATAATCAGTATAATCAGTGTTGATGGCTATCCTTCCTTAGCTGGTTTGGCCATGGCGGTTATTGCTGGCCATGCTAACTGTGCTCTTTTTTCCTATAGTGTTTTTTTTTTTTCTAAACCACTGCTGAAAGTATTAATCCATCACTTTCTTTGTCCAGAAAACCTTCTTTAATGTGGCTTCTATCACAAAGCAGGATTACTGAATAAAGCTGGACGAGTATAACCCAGGGGAGGTTTTTATTTGAGTCCATGTTGCAGATTTGAAATGCCTCCAGGTTTTTACTCAGCAGTTATCCAGCTAACTTCATAATCCTGCTTTGTGAGACAGACCCTCCTGGAAAAAAAAAAAATACCTGACAGCAGCTGTTAGCAAACAGCAAATCTTTGAGCTTTCATGATTTCTTTTAGGCTAAGTCGCTTTTATCAGCTGGCAATAGCAATCTCACACAGTTGTAGATGGGGTTTTTTTTCTGCCTCTGAGATGAAGTATCATATGACATCTCTGAAAATCCAAGATGAGAGCCAGATCCGATGTGTTCACCATCATAACATCGAGACACATTAATAGTCCTTGTTTATAACTTTTCTTAGGTGACGAGAGGGTACATGAAGCAGTGATTACACTGGTTTGATTTATTGCATACGTGCAATGTCGGCCTTACCTTACCCTGTAAAGGAAATGCTTCTTTGGAAAAGAAGCAGAGCACAAGCGAAGCGAGAGTCTTTTCCACTCTACAGCTGTAACAGTTACGCATAATTGATGTGTGGCATGTGTAATTGTTGCTTTGTTATTTTAACAAATAATTCTGGTGGTAAGACGCAGTTTGTTGTGTTCGTCGGCCCCTTTCTCTGCTGCTCCCTCCTCCTCGGCTCTGGAGTTTACACAGTAAGGAAACTGAGGATAACATTTCTTCTCCTCTCCTTGTGAGACATGATACTGTAGCCACAATACTTCACATGCACTTGGCTGATACAAGCAGCATTGTTTGGGTCTCGTAAACATCTCCATCACCTCATTCCAATGAAATGCATTGGCATCATTTCATAGGGTTTTCCCTTTATCTCTCATTTTCACTTACTTAGAATTACATAGATTTTCCATTGACAGCAAAACAATAATTGATTTACACTGCAATTCCCAGTTACATTTAAACTCTGAGGGGCTGAAGACTCTTGTTTCCTCAGTTTTCTAATCTGTTTTTCACATCATATTTGAATGTATTCTGCGCCTTGGAATAATCCTCTCAGCTGAACTTGTGCTCCTTCTCCCAATTCAAACAGCTTTCAACACGAGAAATACACTTGAGGGATCTTCGTTGCCATATTGTCGATCGGCGCTCCATGAAGGATATATTGTGGCACAGCTTAAGGAGTTCAGCAGGCCTTTCTTTTGGGCTACTATGTTTCTGATACAACTAAAAATACTCTGGAACCGAAAAATAGAACAAACCTAGATTTATGGACAACATATGAGTGGCATCTTTCAGGAGGTGGAAGATTTGTCATCCAGGAAAGCCCCCATGTCATGATATTGTGACATTAATATCAACTGACCCATGGGCACACGTCCACTATTTTAAAATAGACATTTAATAGGTTAGAGTCCTTTAATAAGATGCCAAACTTAGATTTTCCATCCATTTTAAATACCTGTTCATACTCTGGTTCCAGGTGAAATTATACATACACTGATTCAGTATAATTAGGTGATTATTCCAGGATAAAAGAATGAAAACCGTCTGCTGGGGAACTGATGACTGCACATGAGTGAGATGGAAAACATTAGGCAAATTAAAATGATTGAAGTCTCCGGCATTCTCTATAGGTGTGTTTTTGAGTTCTTACAAACCCAATGATCAGCCACCTGATGTATGCTACATGTCAGAGAACCAGCAGGCTTTAGTCTTGTCTACTTGTTTATAGACCAAAGAAAAAAAAACAGCAGTATAAGTCGTTGAAAGATTCCTAGCGTTGAAGCACTATAGCAAACCATTACACCTCTGTAGCTTGTTGTGAACAATGTTGTTATAGTTTCCATTTAAGTTGGAAGCAGGCGTGGTTTTTTATTTATTAAAACCAAATTTGTATTAACTAAAAAAACATCTTTAGATTTAGTTTAAGGCACAAATTATTTTTGGGAAATAACAACATTATAAACTGTTGCAGCTTAGTATCTGAGGAGACAAAAATGCATCATGATAAAGTAAATAAGTT